TAGTCAGTTGTTTAATCATTTAAACAACAAATTATAATAAAAGAAATACTCTATTTAATCCCAACCCGATAATGATTTTAATTGTTTAAATCACATATCCAAAATCCAAGTTTTGACAAATCATCCACGTCTTCCCCAATATTATTTTATTAATGTAAAATAATACACTAACCAGTAAGTACTAAACTATTCTCATTTAAGAATATCTAACCCTAATCCAATCCATACATACAACAACCATAGATGATATTTTAATCATCTAACACATAACAACGTAATTATGCTTTGGCAAATCAACCATGCCATTGTAAATATTTTTATTTATATATTGGCAATTCAACCATGCCTCCATAAGTATATTTATTTATACATTGGCAATTCAACCATGCCTCCGTGTATGTATATTTATACATTGGCAATTCAACCATGCCTCCACAGGTATATTTATTCATACATTTAATTAGCAATTCATCCATGCTTTCCATATATGTATTCTATTCATACAAATATTTAGGTAATATATTTAATCATTTGACAATTCATCCATGCCCACACTTTAACCATGAATTAACTTTAAAATTAACAATACGCTAAATCATACATAGCCATCACATGCATATTATACGCATATCATTAATTTAACAACCAGCCTATTAAGATATGCCAAATAAGAATGATAATATTAATCATCTTAAATGATTTATATATATATATACCTACACATATGTTATTTAATGTATTTATGTGTTTAACACCTTCTTTAATAATCCTTGATTATTTAAAATCAATATACATACATACATACATATATCTATATTCATCCTTCCATACAACTCATAGACAAATTAAACTATATATACACATATATAAATAATTATATATATATATATATATATATATACACTTCCTTCCATAACAAATTATTAATTTATTATATTTACACAAATTAGTGCAACTAAATATGTCAGAAATAGTTTCCTTTAAATACTCCATATTGGTTTAAATAGTTTTCCAACACTTTCTCACTAAAACATAAATATCTCCTAGTAGGATAGGAATCTGATAATAAAATTGGTACCATTGGAAAGAAGACGAAAAATCCTTGAATTTGAGCTCAAGAATGACCCAATTTCGATTTAAAATGACTAAGTTATGACCGTTTTAATTTCTAGTGTCGAATTAGGCCAACATAGTTTCCCACGCGCGCCCACGTGCTTACTATGCACTTGCACGCGCTGGATTCAAGCCTCCTTGTGTGCTGGTATTGGCTAAGCTCTTTCAGCTACCGTGAGCTCACCACACTGAATCCATCACTTCCTTTATGACGCATCCAATGGTCATAAATGAGTGCGCAAATGAACACGCTCACACTAGATTATTTTCTATTAACTATAATAGATCTAAGGTCCAGATCAGCGAGTGCACCATCTTCTCATGGTCTGCAATACACCAAATAATCCCATAGTTGACCAGACCACTTCTATGGTCCAGATACACCTGCGCACCAAACTTTTATGCGCCGCGATGCACCATATCAATTCACATAAGTTTAATTAATCAAATGGTCCTAATTGACGTATACACCCTATTATCCTACACCGCGCTGCACTGGATCAATTCTTTATTGTGCCGCCGCTCCACATGCGCCAGTTACCTAGTATATATATATATATATATATATATATATATATATATATATATATATATATATATATATATATAATTATTTTCCTAACAAATAATAGGAAAATAAATCCTAATAAATTCCTAAAAATATCAGAAAAATTCCAGAAAATTACAGAACAATTCTAGAAAATAAAGAAACCATAATTAACTCTCTTGGGTCACAAATCCACCTATAGATTGATTTTAAAATATACATAACACCTATATATATCAATTAAAATCCAATAATCTAAAAATCAAATATAATAGTTTATACTTTTTAATTATTCCGATCTAACCATAATTTTTAAACAAATAAATTTAATTAAAGCCTTGATACTCAAGGTGAAATCCTTATGAGTTCTAAGAAGAAAGTTAGAGAAAACTCGCCTGAAGGTTTCGAAACGAAACCGACGCTTTAAGCTTTAATTATCTCTTCCAATTCCGACGTCCTCCTTTTCAGATCCGACCTCCTCCTTGTCAGCCCTTCTTCTTCCTCTCTCTCTGTCTGTTTTACTTTTCTAACGTGTAAAACCTTTAACCCTAAGCCTTATGTGTATTTTTATACACCTTAAATTCCAAATCCTATTCCAACTAGTATTATGAATTAAAATAATAATCTTTAAATAATTTATATCTATAAACATATATATATATAAATATATATTCCTTCCATAATTAACTCATTAGTTAATTAAATCATATATACTTATAAATATCAATAAATATATATCTATATATATATCTTTCCATAACAATTATTAATTAATTATATTTATATATAATTATATATATATATATATATATATATATATAAATATAATTGATACAAAAGTGATCATTTAAATAATTAAATAACCACGGACCTTCATTAATTAACCCAATAAGGTTTCATACAAGCCCAAGACCACATCTTTTGGTCCAACTTTCCTTAAGCCCAATCCAATTAATTTAAATAAATAAGATAATTAATTAAATACCGAAATTAAAATAACTAATTACATGAAGCACATAAACAAACAAGAATTTATAACTAAGTCATATAATACCAATAAAATCAACACACCAATAATTCAATCAATAATCAACCACACAAACAATCAATCATCATACATAATCACGAAATATAACTTAATTAAAATAAGATAATTAATCTAGCACTCAATAAAATAAAATAAATCATTGAAAAATAAAATAAAATAATTAATCCTAATTAATAAATCTTTTAAAATTATCGGGGTATTACAACTAGTTACGCATCAAGGGTTGTAAATCAGTGGTACCTCCTTGCCTCCCAAAGTATAAGGTCAGGGTACAAATCCTTTAGGGACAATTGGGTGTAAGTTTCTTACCAAAAAAAAAAAAACTAATTATGCATACCACCACATCCATAGGAACAGTAAGAATTAGGTGCATTCCAATACATTTTTAGGGTTTTATTTTCCTGAAAACCAAATAAAATTTATATTCAAAAGATGTAGAAACTTCTGCCAACATTTAGAGTAGAAATCGTATGGGTGGAAGTGCATAGCAGAAAAAGAAAACAGGATCAAACTCCTCCATCTAATTGCCTTGGTGCAATTTATGCTACAAGTAAAACTGAACCACTCAGTTGATGGTAACATGGCTCTTGACTATATAGTTTATGGAGCTTTTTACTCAAGAGTAGCTATACAGGGTCACGTGCTCATTTTTCAGTTTATCAGTGAGTAGAAGCAGACCTCATCCAGTAAATCTTTTTGAGGAACTTGTGTTTGATAAGCTAATTCTTTAAAGAAACGTCTTCCTAAATCAATTCTACACCATCCATATTTAATGATTTGATCAAATATCCCTAGTCCAAACCTTGAACCAAATCAACAATTTTTTCAACTTTTAGATGGTTCAACTTCTTTGACAAAAGTTTCTTAACCGCTTCACTATGTGTTTTATGAATTAAGTTCCTTCCTCAAGATCGAAACTTCTTGTGCTACCAGATTGATGCCACAAACACCAGGATTGTTCAAAACAAAATAATTGAAACAGAAGGTACAATTATCGAGAAAGATAGGAGGAGAAAGAGGTAGAATTCCAACAGGACTAAGGCAAGTTCCAAACCCTTTGATAATGAGAGAGGAACAGAAATAAAGAAAAGAAAAAATAAAATAAGACAGAAAGGACGAGAGAGACGAGCATAATTTTATAAATTCAAAATCCATCACTCCGTCGCAGCCCTAATTTAAGCCTTTATCTAAGGGTATATCCATTTCTAGACACCACAAAAGCCACCTAACCGAAACCCAAAACAGGTATAAAAGACCCAAAATATAACTCCCAGAACAAAACTATAGCACCCAATAAATTATTCAAACATTTTCCAGTAAAAAACATATATCTAAAGAACAGATGCATAGAACTCCAAGAATTACATAAAAAAATTACCTAAAAAACTTCATTCTAAAACTAAAAAGCTTTACATTAAGAGTGTGTTTGGCTGTATGGAATTGGAATTTGTGAAAACTTTGGCTCAATTTTCTTAGTTGTTTTTCTCAAATTCCAATTTCAAGACTCTAATTTCATGCAACCGAACACACCCTAACAGCAAACAAGAAGTCAGTACTTCATTTTATTGCCACTGTGTTTCCTTGTACGGTGTGTCAGCATTAGTAAGTGATAAGTCCACAAACTGAAAAATCGCAGGTCAAGCAACAATCACCATGAATAGGAAGAATGAGTCAATACCTCATAAATGGTGGGTGGTAACTCTTGAGCAAATGACAAGACAATTTCTAAAAACCAATAGATGAACAACTAACAAAGGGACCCTGAGAAGCACCCAACAAAATCACAATTCTGACATCACTCACCTTGCTTTAAGGTGGAAAATTCATACTCAATACTCACCAAGTCCTCAGTGTTATTTGCCAAATTGAATTAGAGCCATCTAAGGCAAATCTTTCAATTTAGATAACTATCATTTCAAGTTTTCATATTTCACTTACAGCTTCAGTCTTTGAGCTATAATACAATTACAAAGTCAACTCCCAATCACAGTTTTAAAAAGAGTTTGACAAATATTTTTACAGAGCTATTAGTCTAAACTGGATGGATGTACACAACCATTGCTTTGTTGGATTTATCATAACAATATGGCACTGAATTAGGGCTAATTTATTTCATTTTTTACTTTGGAGGGATCAAAAGACAGCTAATAAAACAAGATCCACAAATCAGTAAAGAATAAAAAATAATAGGCCCAATACATTGCAGTTACCTATAATTTCAAATTGCCATACTGATTTCAATTGATCATGAATGGTCACAAGACTCACAATGTAAGTACCATAACAGTGAGATGATAAATTTAAATGAACAAATTTTTTTATTATTATTTTAAGAAAGGCCCAGTGGAGCAGTCACATCACCTTGCATTAATTCATGTTGATGCAAGCAATTGCTGAAACTTCAAGTCCGTGATTCCAACAAGGAATTATATAATACAAGTTGTTAAAATATGGTAATACGAAAGAGCAAGTAAACATCTTCTTAAGCTTGACAAGCAGTAGAGCAGAGCATCATACTTGCTAAATTGCGATCGGCTAAATTGCGATCGGTTGAAGCTTGTGTATTTCCTGGGTTTTCAATCCTTTGAGACCCGGATAACTAAGCCACTGGGTGTCTGGGCAGTTCCGAGGTGACCTGAACCAACCAGATCTCGAATGTGAAATCTCATATCCAACTGAGAAAATCGGAGACGCTTCTTCTCTAAAACAGCCAACATCATCTCTTTGTATTTCCTTCGGTTTAGAAAGGAAAGGAGTTCCTTTCTGCCCTAAAATGAAAAGCCAAAAAGTAAACACATTATGAATGGTTCTAACAAGCCTTTGCATTCAGATAGACCAGGACAGACTCGTCAAGAAAAGTCTCCCCCTTGTAATGATAAAAAAAATTATAATTCCAAACTAAAAACATATTCTTTTACTTCAATGGAATTATTATCCTCATAAAATTTCTCAATTTCATGCCTTTGGGTTGCCCCTCAAATTTGATGGATAAAACTCAACTTCAAATGATATATAAAACTAGCCTCCAAAAAGTTAATACTTAAAACTGCTGATAGATAATCTCGTACTTGTCAAAATACACATTTCGAGTAAATTTCCAACCACTTTTGTTAATTGATAAAGAACACAAAAGTTTGTATCTTTGACAACAAAGTCCAATACCCATAATAAACTATTTCTAATCATAAAAACACCACCTGTGACTAGTATGGAATCAAACGAGGCATTTACAAAAGGCAAAAAAGCAAAAACCACCCTCAACTATTAAAAATCAGCATTTTACCCCCCTGAACTACAAAATCGAGCAAGTCAGTACCTCAACTATAAAAAATGAGCAGTTTGACCCCTGGCAGTCCTTTCCGGCTCATTGCCGGTCACCAGCATTGTACATTTACAAAAATGCCCATTATAATTAACATTTTAGAAAAAGCAAAAAAAATTAAAATTGTGAAATACCATCAATACCCTCACAGTTATTCTATAAGTGTAAAATTGAGTTTGACTAACCAAAAAAAAAAAGTATTATCCAGTTATGCTTAAAATCAATATATATATATTGAAGACAATAATTTTGAGGGGAAAACCTAAAAAAATATATATAGAAAGAAGCGCGCATTCTCGCTACCAGCGAGCGCATAAAGCGTTTAGAGGAGAGTCAGCAAGCGCTGCGGGCGGATCAGGAAGCCCTAATTGTTATATATATACACACACACACACACACACACACACACACACACACATTACATATATCAAGGAAGACTTTTACAAATAGTGCACAAGGAACCGACGACGACGACGAACTGTAGGGACTTACCGGCGAGCACGCAAGTCTAAACTGACCGTCGGTGAGTGAACCGGTGAGCACACGGGTCTAAACTACAGCCACGGAACTTACCGGTGAGGACGCAGGTCTGAACTGCTGCCATGGAATGAACAGGCAAGGCGCGGACTGAACGGACATGGAACTTACCGGCGAGCACGCGAATTGAATCAGCGATGAGAAACAGCTCAGTAGTGACGGAGTGCGAGCAAGCACCATTGGTTAAGTTTTGCAGATGGGTTGGGTGTTTGGGTTGCGATTGGTGTAAAGGTTTTGCAATTGGGTATTGCACATTATTTACGCGTTGAAGAAGATGAACAGTGACGGCATGAGGCTGTTTGTAAATTCAGAAATTCCAAATTTCAGGCAATTCTCTCATCTGGGTCTTTCTCAATCGCTCCAAAATCTTTAATTGGGGAAAATATGTGGTACTCACTCTGCAACTAAATGGTTCAACACACCATGGGTTGGGATTTTGGTGGCCACTTCGATCAAACTCTGTTTCGTTTATGAATTTCACGGACTTTATATCGTTGTCGAATTTCTTGTACAGTTTGGGGATGTTGTTGGAATTTGCATGGTATCTTTGCCCAAATCAGCCTCCGCTCCTTCCCGGTGCTTGACAGTGGTTGAGAGTTGATGTTGAGGCAATAAGGGATAGGCTCAATTGTGGTGACGCAATTCTGGCGACGTCGATGATCGTGGAGATGATGATGACGACGATGCCGATGACCTCTTTGTCATAATTGTATAACAAATTTTCAAGAAATTCGATATCAATCGATTATCTGTCCTAAAGTAAGAGATCGAAGCTTCAACGATTGATCAAATCAATGATTAGAGAGCTGAGAAAACATGAGTTGTGATATTGTTGTGGTAATCGGAGTCCCCGTCCAATGGTCGTCATTGGTTGGGGTTTTGCCGAAGGAAGATGTTGTACAGATTTTACCCAAAAATAAAAAAATAAAAAATAAAAATTGTTGCAGAGAGATTTGGTTCTTGGTTGCATAGTTGAGGTTTGGAGTCCATTTATAGAGACAGGGCTACAACGGTCATATTGTAAGGGCAGCTATGGAATTATATCAGAAAGTAACTTCACGCGCTCCATCTGTGCCGGAAATGAGCCGGAAAGGACAGCCAAGTGGTGAAACTGATCATTTCTGATAGTTGAGGGACTGACTTGCTCGAATTTGTAGTTCAGGGGGGTAAAATGCTGATTCCTAATACTTGAGGGGCATTTTATGCTTTTTTGCCTTTACAAAAAGCAAAATTGAGATGAGTGAACCAGGAACCATATGGGAGTTGAATAATTGGTCAATGACCGAGCATGAGAGGGCAGATGCCTTTGGTTTGAGTTCCCCTCCAACCCTCTTCCCCTAGAGGCTACTATTGGGGGATTCTTCCAAGATAAAATTAGCGCATGATATTAGGGCGTGATAAGTGTCCAGAGAAGATTACTTCCACCCAAACGGTGGAGACGCCCCTCTAGTCAACCAAAAAAAAGAAAGTGATGTAGTTTAGATTATTAGGATTATATAGCTTCCATTTTCTTTTATTTTATTATTGACAGTTAGCGATTGTTTGTTAATATTGGCTATTGATCATATATGACCTTGTAATTAAAGTCTTTTTGTGTATACATGAACTAATGATGTAGGGGTAGCAGGTGTCCACACCACTAAAGTAACCGGATGCTAGGCATACAATTACATTTTAGGCAAAGCAATACCAGAAATTAGAATCATATTTTTATTTATTTAAACACCTACCAGATGTTTTTTCACTTGTACACCTACTGAAAGAACATGACAAGATTACAGGCACAAGATATATATCAGAGACACGCTTAATAAGCTATTTTTTGCATCATTCTCATGGGAATGGAAATACCATTCGTCCAGTTGAGTAAAGGTATGGCTAATAATCAAACATTTGAAGGGACAACCATTATTTTAGAATGACCATTGCAGCCCTTTTTTTTACCAACCAAACATGGGAATGGAATGGTCAGAAATGACCACTCCACTTCACCGCTCATTCCTGTGTACCAAATGTAACCCATGGTAATAGAATTTTATGTCCCCTGCTATGAGATTACATAACTAGCTACTCTATAAATTGATCGATATAAAAAGATTATGTAAATTATGCAAATGAGGTTTTAAATGCCTTTAAATTTAAATAGAATAAAAATTGTCATGCTTTAGGTACGTACCATAACCATTACCATTGTGGCAACTAATAGATTTATTTACTAAAGAAGTAAAATACTTAAAACTTGTATGAACTGTATTGCAAACAGTTGTCAACTAACAAATCAACAGCCATCCTTAAGACTCAAAAAATGTATTATACAGATTAACAGACCAAATGACAAGCCCCCCTCCTTCTTGCCTAGTTTCCTAGCTTGTATGCATCCACTCATGGTAGTTATTTCAGTCTCACACCCTTTATTCATATAGGAAAATAACATCTATGGCATGTGTATCCTTGCCTTGTAAGGTATAGAAAATCCTCAAGCAAGTACCTGAGAGAGACCTTTGAGTACTGAACCAATATTTGGAATTGCAAACCAGTACATGTTTGGATCAATAAGTTGGCGAGTCTGAAAAAATGAAGTGACCGTTAGAAAGAAAAATAGCAGATGGAATGACCAACCCAAAAAAAAAAAAAAAAGGGAAACAAAATTGCATAAAAATCACAGAGAGAAATAAAGATAAATAAAGAGAATATGGAATACAGGAAAAGCAATATGATGAATATGAACTGTCAAAAGGGTCATCATGTTTGATAATGTTTTCATGTAACACTATTTCAGTATTTCACCCAATTAGGCTCGTTGACTACATAACCACAATGTCGGTATTTCCATTCGTGCACACACGCATAGGTACATAGTCAAGATTCTGTAGCACAATTTCTAGTGCACTCAAACATAAATATATCTCCAACAATTTAGAGTCGATATCCGGTAAAAGATTTTTCCCAACCAGCCTAAAAATGGGTGGAATGTATGAAGGGAAGGGTGACACAGAATCAATATTGAAGAATACTCTAGTGTTCATCAGAGAATATCACAAGAGGAAAATTCAGGATCAATTGATGGTGCAGATCACCTACGAAATTACAAGAGAAAAATCACTGTAAAGCAATCTGCTGATCTGAGATAATTTCATGGAATCACGACTGTCTATAATTTTTGATAAAATTTTATTTTATTTTTTTCCAACTCCAAAAACAATTAAATCTTGCTGCAAAACAATTCCATTCTCTTTTCTCTGCAAATCTAATTAAACCTTGCTGCAAAAACAAGCTCCATTTTACTCTCTTTCAAATTTCCAAGGTTTTCAGTCTTGTGGGTCTCTTATAGCCATCTCCTAGCAGTTGGGATTCAGGATTTGTAGTTGAAAGAATCTACCGTGCCTCTCGTCCACTAAAATTTTTTTAAGTTGCATGACACAATTTTATAAAAATTGTTTTCAACCCATGCTTAATAACCTGAAAGAAGCACCACATCCAACAACAATAACCCCTGTTCTAACAGAAAAACCAAATACCAGCTGAAAGATAACTGGGAACACTGGTCCATGCCAGTGTATCATGACAAAATCCGGCTTCTATTATAGAATATGAAGTTTTTCCTTGACAAGTTTATAGGAATTTTTTTTCAGTGGCTAGCATGTTAATTATCAAGGCAGACAACAACCAGTACTATACATCCCTAGTTTTTCTTGTCATTAATCGCATACAAGGCAACCACAAAAATTCCCTAGCTCTACATGATTGACAAACCAAGCAATACAGCATTTTTTTTTTCTTAGTTAGTACCCACACACACGCCTCCACTGAGACTCGAACCCCTAACCTTCCTCTGGGAAATAGAGACCTGGTACCGCCAGGCCATTAGCCTGTAAACTGTCATAAACAATGCATGACTGCAAACTGTCAAAACTTCGAACATCAATACTACAGAAGCAGGGTTCTTATTATGATTTTGGTCAATGGAATGGACTTGGAGCTTATCACAGGTGATCTGAATCTAGATCCGATAATCGAAAGGAACAACACAACTCTTATTAGAAGCAAAGACTTTTATATATTTAATATTTGATAATCCGACTATAAGAAATAATGAATGATTATTAACAATTAATTTTTTAAATTCTTTACCAGGAAAAAAGAAAAGAAATTACGAATAAATAAAATTTTGAGAACAAACTGAATTTATAATATTAAATACTTAACAATGTTGTAGTTCTTACTAATTAGTAACAATAATAGATAATTAATAATAACAAATAAAATAAAAAGATAGATAATGTAAATACTGTTATACTATATAATTCTAAGTTCAAATAAATTTTCAATTGGATTTTTTTTTTTTCATAAATTTCATTTTCGATTGGATTTGGACTATTACAATATTCGATCACCCTAAATCCAAGGTAGATCCAGTTGTTAATGGATCAATAGGGTGATTGTCACAATATTGGATCACCCTGCAAACTAAACCGTCACCAGCATGACAAACACCGATGCTGTGCAAAGTGAATTGACAAAAACACATCCCACAATAAAGCCCCTCTCAAGGCAGGGTCATCCGGGCTAACCCCTGACTCCAACCACTAAGTCAAAGAACCCCTGGATCACACGAAATTGACAACATGACAAAGAGATCACGCCACTAAGAACGTCAAACTCTTAAAACTCCTGAAGCTGTTCTCTAGCCTCAAGTAGATATCAATGTGTTAATGCCTATAAACTATGGTAGAGGTTTAAGGCTTCAGCAGTACCATATAAGTTATGACTACTTCTGTCACCAGTCTTTGATGTCAAGGTCCATGGCAAAGGCTCATGTCATGGTGATCTGATGGAGCTTGAGGACTACCTTTTTAATCTATTACTCATCTGGGGGAAGGAGATTGGGGTGGCTTTTCTATTACCATGTGCCTTACCTCTAAAGCATATTTTATATGCTGCATTTGTGAGAGGGTTTCATTGTGTGTGTTTTTCTTTGTTTGTAAGTCAACAGACATGTCCACAAACACCACTTTTAAAGTTGTGCCAAATTAGCACCTGCTAACAACGTTTGGATTCCAACATCCTCACCTGCATCACTAGAATATAGAGGACAAGATGCAATAAATCACAAGATTCGAACAACTGCACCGATTCCATTATTAATTAAGAATCCTAATCACACTTACAAGAAGGCCAGCATTAATTAAAAGAGAGACGTGTTCATCTTTAACCTTTCCACCAGTTGATAGAAGTGACAACTGCAATGCAGCAGAAAGTAGCAAATCTGTGAATATCAAATTGATAAATTGAAAAGAGTGCAAAAAGTTAAACATGAAAGCAAACATGTTTCCGCTATAATATTGAAGACACATTCAACAAATTAAAAAGAGCTTTCTAATGAATGCCATATAGATATAAGTTCAGAAAATGACTTGACTTTACTAAATCAATGACACCAAGTTGTCGTGTCATCGTCGTCGTCGTCATTCTTGCCTTTATCCCAGATGAAAGGGATCGGTCATACGAATTATCATTTTCGATTATTTCCTACTACACAACATGTCCCATCTTACATTTAATTTTTTAAAATGACTCTAAATAACTTGATTCCATGTAAGTTTTGGTCAGTTTCTTTGTTGCTTGCCTTCTAGGCAAATAACTCTTTCTGCACTTTCGGGTCTGCGTTGTATAGCCATACCGCATAAGTCTACTTTCTCTAGTTTTACCATTTATAGAAGTTATACCTAGTTTTCCCTCACACAGTCAGTGACACCAAGTACTAACTAAATATTCATTTGATAAGATGCACCACAAAATTACAAATCTAATTTTCATGCTGACAAGTATAGTTCAACAAAGGAAGAGTTACAAGCAAAATAAACAATAAGATACTACACTATCAGCAAAAAGGAAACATATGAGCAGACCCACTCAGGAAAGGGCACACTCAGAGAGCAGAACTGTTTAACATTTGTTGAGTGAATGAAATATTGACTATGATTTTTTTTTTTCTTTTCATGACAAGAATGTTAGATTAGAAGTTAGTGGGTACGAAGGCTCAAAGCCGGGATCCCTAGAGCAACGGGGAGCAACCCAATTGCTGGGCTACGAAGGCATTCGCAAATGTTGACTATGATAAATAAGTACCTTATGTCAACTAATAAGAACATTGCCCTATCAGGGAGGGGGAAAAGAGTAGACCATGTTAGAGGTGCACAGAAAGAGGATAGCAAATAAAACAACGTAATTATTTAATAATCAAGTGTACACAAATGCCATAGGTTTGTATACATATGCCAGTACTTGATGCATTCAAGGATATATCAGAATAAAAATAATCAGTCACATAGAGTTGAGCAAAAATACTGGTTCATGTTTGAGTCACTCACAAGTTCTTGATGTCCAATACTGGGGTCCAGCTTCGAATGGATAACATGTGTTCTAAACCACTCAAAAACTGCAAGATCAACTTGCTTTTTTGCTTCCATTCTTTTAACAATTCGATCTATCTAAAATAAAAGTAGGATAAAGAAAACATAGTTAATGCATTGCCAATTCGTCAAAGAGAAAATCTTGAACCACATATGCGGATACCTCATATCAAATGAAATAAACTATAGAAAAACTATTCATGATAAGCACAAACCTACGCATAATTACACACAAGTATATATTTACAAACTTTCATGAAGTATAGACATTCACACTCTAAACCAGCTTCTCAATAAAAGTTCAATATAAGAACAGTATATCTATAACAAATAAAAGCAACCAACCTGAACCAAATAGTCATCCAAAAACATTATGGCATGATCATCTTGTCCAGTATTTAATTTGAAAATGCGCAAAACTCTCTCCCTCCTCAAAGACTGCCAAAATGTACAAAATGATAATTTATAGAATAAAATGAGCCAATTGGAAGACACACACACACAAGATAAAATACTCCAATAAATGAATTCAAAAACAAAACCCAGTTTCCAATGCAAGATGCACAAAAATAATCAAAGTGAAGTAAATTTTTTGTCAGTGAGTCACCGTTAAGTAAATTTCCAACAAATAACTGCAGAAAAAGCGAGAGGAATATATACAATTTGATGAAGCCCTAACTTTTTTAGCACAAAGCCTAATACATCAATCCCTCCTATTCTAGTTCAGATTATGAACTGAAATTTTAAGAGGAAGTAAGTTTCACTGCAAACTTTGTCACCATGCCATTTTTTAGGGAAGCAATACACAAAGTTCAAGATAAATTTCATCAGGCTTATAACTGTAAGAACATTGTTGAAACACGTTTTAACTTTATCATTAACAACTTATATACTTCTATTTATTCAGAAGAGAGTTAGAATGAACCTATTTTACATGGACTCTTCAAAAGTAGGTGAAGGACCCGTGTCAGACATACAATAGTTAGACGGGTATAGATCACCACTTTTGGTTGGACATTCACCTAAAAAGTATATTCAATTATTCAATTTTATTATACTATTGCTTCAGAATCAATGGAATACCTATATAGAATGCTTTGTCATATAAAAAATTACTCTAGAAAATAAATAAAAATATTAAATATTATGAAATTTTAGCATAATTCCTGTGTCCTTCAGTTTAGGGATTTGACAAGCCCAACGCTATACATACCCACACCCAATACACAGATCCAAGTCCATGGAATATAGGAATGAACTGATATAATCAAAGAAATTTCAAAAAACATGCTGGATTACCAGACCTCTAGCTCCCTATCCACCTGGGTTCTGTCTTTCACACTGCTATACAACTGTGACTGCAAAATAAAAGGCTGAACTGAGACCTGAAAAAACAGAATCATTAATATAATGGAATATCACATTGAGGATAAAATTATCACTTCGTAAAATAACATACCAAGAAGATTCCACAAAGGTTCTTTATTTTAATACCTCTTCTTCTTTCTTTTTATTTTATTTTTATAATATAGCAACAAACTTTAATTATAAGGCAGGATTGCATGATTTTGCAATATCAAACTACCAAACCAACAAACAAGGCACTTGATTAGAAAAAGGAGCACAATGAACTTTTGTATAAGATCCTTAGCTCCCATTTCTCACACTAATACCAACAAAACCAGATGTCAACACAACATGAATAAAATTCTAGTGACTTGGCGCCCAAGACACAAACATAGGTATAAATGTAATAGATAGTCCTCAAAGTTATCAAAGCCTACAGATAACCAATTATCTCAGAAGTGCATTGACTATATTTTAAAGTCAAAATTTTTAACCACGTATTTAAATTTAAGAAAACAAGACAATGCTTAGGGACATGCACTGAAGCTTGGCACTATGAGAGAAATTGTTAAAAAAAAAAAAAAAAAAGAGGTGGCGATAATAATAAATATTACATGGACAGAGCCTTTTATGGCCAAGTGGCCTGAGGATTTTAATATAAATTATTTCATATATAAATTGGATTTTCCCACACAATGCATCATCATTGATAAACAAAAAATCATGAAAATTTTCTTCAAAAGTTTTACATCTAAGACCATGATATGATGTTAGGTAGAGTATTATGTATACAAAATGCTTTTTGTGCTAATAAATTAATAATTATGAAGGGGTTCATGGCGCTACCAACGTTTTGATTTGCGATTGCTACTAACAAAAATGAGATCATGGGTGTAACAAGGGTTTCGATCTTGCAACTTACACAAAAGGTACCAATATGCAACTTTTAACTTCAAAAGCCAATAAATATGGATTTTAAAGATCTTTAGTATATTTTGTTGAATACTTAAAAGGTAATTCAATATAATTAGTGACCCAAAAATTCATTACAATGCATCTAAAAAACATGAAGTCATGGAGAACCCAGTCACAAGAGAAAATTCATATCTGTAAACCAACTTAAGTTTCTCATACATGTCAAAATCGAAACAACACTAGTAGCTAACCTAACAGATTCCAAATTTAGGACATGTACAGAAAGTACAGATGAAACTCTAATACTAAAATTGACTATAACATCCTAAGCATCCTTAAAAAAGTCATCGTATAATCGTCTTAACATAAACTCCATGCGGTCAAGACGGTCGACAGTACTCTGCTTGAAGTCAACGAGAGATTGTTGCATCTCATCGAGTTTGCCCTCTAGCCTGGACAGCCTGGATGAGTTGGATGGTTGCTCTGGCTGTGATGAGGAAGACACGGAGCCATAGTCCCCTACGTTGGGTGCGCCGTGGAGGGGCTCCGGAAGGGGATGGCTCATCTGTTTGACTCTGACCTCTACCCTCTACAAGATATTTCAGCATTTGTTCCGTAACTTCCCCGCTCACATGGTGCAACATTACCCCTCTTGTGTGCCAAATGCTCCATCAACCGTGTAATACCACCGCAAATTTTTCTCCCACAAAATCTACAAGTAACTTTATGTCTGTCACCCTCAACAGGTGTACCAAATCTCCAACCTATGTCATCACTCATAACACCAGTGCCACTGCCCTCTCCACTTTGAGGTGGCATGTCCTGCAACAAATTACAGTACATATCTAAATCAAACATCTAAATGCTTGTAGTAGATCAGACTTCCAAGATCTAATCAAACATACAAACGCAATTGAACTATATGTTAGATTATTTGTAACCCTAATTTAGTATATATGAATTTGTCAAACTACCGAAATTCTATTAATTTGTAAATTAATTATACTTCATACAAAGTTTAACTTTTAAATTAGTCAAACTATTACATAAATAATCCATGTAACTAATACAACTTGCATCATAATAGAATACTCTAACATATAATTACTGCTAATTATAAATAGAGTGTAATTAGTGACAACTGATATACTAAACTAGTAAAATATAAAATAATATATTTATATTATTTGTATCATAGATTCCACGCAAATATGCATTATAGAATATGAATAACTTCACAAAAATATATATCAATACCTATGCTATAGAATAATCTATATTACATATTAATGCAATCTATCATTATGCTATTATGAATTATAGAATGTGAATATACTTCACAAAATTATATATCAATACCTATGCTATAGTTTAATATATATTATAAATTAATGCAATCTATCATTATGCTAAATAAGCATTATTATTATATGAAAAAATAATAATAAACTATTAAAAATACATTTATCAAATAAAAAATTCAGTGAGTACAATAATTAAACTTTGAAAAAGAAATATAAATAAAATATAAAGTCTAAGTGCAAAAAACTTACAAATCAGCAGATAAAATATGCAGTAAAAATTACAAAAATAAATAAATAAATAATAAATAAATAAAAATCCAGAAATAATAAAAATTATAATTTATAACTTGTCTAAGATGTGTAACACAAAATAAAATACAGTTTACATGATTGTATGAATGTTAATCACTTATCTCTCTGAAAAAATTCAAAAAAAGTAAAATAAAATAAAAAAAAGAGGTCGGGAGCTTTGGACCAAGACTCACGAACAAGGCTTATGAATATAGCATAGAACATTATCTTTATGTTAAATCTAAGTGAAAAGGGGGGAAATTTGAAAAGCAAATGAAAAATTTTCAATTATTTGAAGTATTGGAAAGCTCTAATTCAAGATGATACTCAAATCTTGTATTTTTTGAAGGATTGGAGGATAAATCTAATACTTTGGGAAGTGTCTGAAAGCAGTTCTGGATAAAAGTGAAAGAAAGTGAAAAAGAATATGAATAACTTCACAAAATTATATATCAATACCTATGCTATAGAATAATCTATATTACATATTAATGCAATCTATCATTATGCTATTATGAATTATAGAATGTGAATATACTTCACAAAATTATATATCAATACCCATCATATAGTTTAATATATATTACAAATTAATGCAATCTATCATTATGCTAAATAAGCATTATTATTATATGAAAATTTAATAATAAATTATTAAAAATACATTTATCAAATAAAAAATTCAGTGAGTATAATAATTAAACTTTGAAAAAGAAATATAAATAATATATAAAGTCTAAGTGCAAAAAACTTACAAATCAGCAGATAAAAGATTCAGTAAAAATTACAAAAAAAATTCCAGAAATAATAAAAATTATAATTTATAACTTGTATAAGATGTGTGACACAAAATAAAATACAGTTTACATGATTGTATGAATGTTAATCACTTATCTCTCTGAAAAATTTCCAAAAAAAAAAAAAAAATTAGAGAGATCGGGAGCTTTGGAACAAGACTCACAAACAAGGCTTATGAATATAACATAGAACATTATCTTTATGTTAAATCTAAGCCAAAATGGGGGAAATTTGAAAAACAAATGAAAAATTGCCGATTATTTGAAGTATTGGAAAGCTCTAATTCAAGATGATATTCAAATCTAGTATTTTTTGAAGGACTGGAGGATAAATCTATACTTTGGGAAGTGTCTGAAAGCAGTTCTGGTTAAAAGTGAAAGAAAGTGAAAAAGAATGCGGAATGAAGAAATTTTTATACCCAGGGAGCTAACAGGAGCTATAGCCATTACCGCTGCAAAATGAGTCCATTATAAAAACATAACATCTACTACCGTCCGTTACATCCAATACTCTTCCTGTAAAGAATGAGTTGCTCGTGAATTTTAATGACACTGATATATCGATAACGACTCAGATGCAGCGCCAGCCGAGTTAGTTAGAACAGCCAATACGATGCAACTTTGCCAAGCCTTGAAGCCTTGGGTGCCACAGACCATGCTTATTTGGTCTACTAGGCATCTTTACTATGCTTATACACTCAAAAACATAATAAACAAGATTAACGAATTAAATAATACATATTGTAAATTACTCTGAGACACCCTGAGGTTTGCTCATGTCACTCTCATATGAAACATTTTTAAAAAATGTGGTCAACCTCTCCTGAGGTTTGACAAAGTAATAAAAATGAATTACCAGAATTACCCTTATCAGAACTAAAAAAACAGAATTAACACATTTGTAAAATGAAATTACAATTTGAAGCAATATGTCTCTCCACCACCACCATCACCCTTACACCTCCAAACACCCCCAAATGCCGATCTCATTTTACCCATTACCAGCCACAGTTTCCTCCGGCTCCGTCCATCCCCATCGCCTTCCAAAATCCCCAATTAGGCTACTCTATCCTCTCACAAGTCCTAACAATTTAATGTAAATCCCAATTCCTATTCTTGGGTTTGGAGATATATACATATATTTTTTACAGATTGCGCTTCAATTATATATTTATATATAATTAATGTTCATCGCGTTACGAATAGGCAGTTTTGATTCCATTTGCATGGAGAAAGTGAGAGCAGCTATTATATATATGTGTGTGTATATACTACTCAAACTCATGGGTCATTTGTGTCATCTTCTACTTCGACACTGTACCTGCTATTTCTCTCTACTTTCACTCTATAGACATCCCATTCGGGACTATCACCATCAATTGGTATTATCAGGGAGTTGAGGGAGATAAAAGGCTAACCAGAGAAGGAGAGAGAGGAGTAATTACATAATCACGAATTGAAGAAATCTAAGTCCGTAAGCCGACTTCGGTTCGGAGGAGGTGGTGGAGGGAAGACGAACCAGAGAGGGCAAGATCAGAGGAGGTGGTGGAGGAAGGGAATTTTGGGTCCAAGATGTTTGGTGTGGAAATTGCTATGGTGGTAGAGAGAGAGAGAGAGATAGAGGGAGGGAGGGGGGGGAGGTGTGGAGGCGGCACCAGCCATTATCAGGTGGTGGTGGTGTTGCCGCAACGTTGGTGGAGATATATGTATATATGTGTATTGTATATTAATTTATATGTATATTAAATTTATGTATTTTTTTTTTTTTTGGTTTACATCATAAGTATTATGTTTATTAAAATCAAGGGCATTTTTGAACTTTTATACTAGACATTAACGGTCCTAACGGTAATATCTCAGACAAGGGGTGTCAAAGTGATGTTTTCAAAAGTTTCATCGGAGAGTGATTTGAGCAAACCTCAAGGGTTCTCAGAGTAATTTACCCTAATAAATATAAATAAATAACACGTTCAAAATGACCACAAAATGTTGTTAAATAATGACACAGTTTTGATTGACAATACTAGATAGATGCTAGTTCCAGGTCAGAACTATAGGCATCATCAAGAATGAAACTCTAAGATCAAAATGTCTTGGGGTGAACCTGTCACAGGCAGTAAAATGTATGCAATGAAAATTTAAGAAAGCTAGAAGTAACATTGAAGTGATAGGCAATCAAAATTGAACAACAATGAGGCAGCAACTACCATCTTTCACTGTACAGTCATGGAAAGCAATAAGAGCAGAGATTTAGGTACTATCACGCAAATTCTAATGGCCCACTTTAGCGGAGCTTGTGCCTTATTTCTGGTTACATTTTAGCTAAAACTCAGAAATAGCTAAAATGCATCTTATTCCATAAGCACATCAATTGGAACTTATAGATCATGGCATATGCTTATTCAATCCATACAATTATAGATCATGACATATGCTTAAAGAGTAGTGGTTTAATGCATCTAATTGGAGAAAAATACTGTTAATTTCAATCCCCAAAATATGTTTTGACTAATTCCTACACTGAATAAATTTGAAGGAAAAACTTCAAAGAGAGAAATACAGTTGAGAGTAAATTCAATCCCCAAAATATGTTTGACTAATTCCTACAAATAATAAATTTGAAGGAAAAACTTCAAAGACAAAAATCCTTATTTACAGAAACAGATAAAGGGAAAAGGAAAAGCTTCCAGCACAAGGTAGCAGCAGGTATATCTTATGGTAAAACCACATGATGTGGATCCACATGATTCTTGTTGTAAAGATTTTTTCTTATTTCTTTCCAATAGGTATTAAGAGTTTCATAATTTTCTAAATTAAGCTTTAATGTGTGTGCCAGTGTATCAACTTCTTTCTAAAAATCAAGTAATTCACCAAGGCACCAAAACTTCTGACATAACTGACCAATATCAATAACTTCTTTTAAGATGGATGCAAGCAAATTCATATTCATATTTACAAGTCCCAAATTCTACAGCTAGGCAGCCCTACACATACAAAAGCAATCACAGATACATACACACATGTACATGTGTATGAGTGTATCATAGATATTTACCTTGTCAATGCGAGGAAATTGAGCACGCATAATGCGAAGGGCCACCAACGTATCGCTAAATGTGAAATTTTCCTCTGCATTCAGATAGATGTGTCAAGGCAACAATACACAGATTTAACAAGAAAAAGAACAGAAAAAAAACATTATGCACCATTCCAAAACTCTTATTCATCATTAGCATCTACAATTACTGTATTAGTATTCCCATCATAATAAACTGACTGTTGACATTAACCTTAAACCAATTACACTAACATTATAGTCAACCACCTTATACAAAGGCCCTTCTGAATTTCAGAACATATTTAGCTCTTTATCAATCTCCATCGCATTTCGTAAAACATAGAATAAGGAGTGTAACAGTTCTAGAGTGTTTCTTCAATATGTTCCTCAACGATATCGGTATAAAAGATTTGCTAATACGCCTTTTAACCATCTTATTCAAAAGAAAAAAGTTGCTTCATTTTTATTTTTATTTTTTTATATTAAAAAATAAGTAATACAAGAAAGTAAGTCTAGCATTTAAAGGACCTCGTCAGACCCCAACTATTTAATCTATATAAGCCTACCTCGACTGTATTACATTCTTTAGAATGTGACATTTGCACCCCAATTTGATATACCTTTGCCTTAATTATTGTCTTCTATGGTTTAGTAATTGCCTGTAGTCCTCCCTAATTTTTATAGTAAATGATATTTTATCCTGCCTACTAACAAAACCAAATATTCCTTCATACGCTTTTCCCTCCCAAACAACAACGAGGTTATCGCCTCCTCTCTAATCTACTAAGCCTACATTCAGGACCGGAGGCAGGATGTAAGGTGGGGGGAAATGAATTTGGGGGGGCAATAATGCATTTTTTTAAGAATTTCAGGGGGGGCACAAGTAATATTTTAATAATTCAGGGCAATTGCCCTCCTCTGGCTTGCATGTAGCCGTGCCTGTATTCACTTCCTGTCTTTTCTCTCCACAAGAGATACATATCGTTTTTCTTTTCTTCTCTGTCAATGTAAAGCACCAACTCTAATCATACTTCGTTAAGAGATACTAGAGCATTAATTTAAATAATAAGAATAGCAGGACAAAAATTCAACAAAAACATTCTAAAAGAAACCAAATTAGGCAAACTAATTAAAAAAAAAACAGTGTTTAACAATTTGAGTCGTCAAATTCAGCCAAAAAAGAATTCAAGAACGGGATAAAGATTTAGAGAGAGTGTATGCAGCGAACTGACCGAGTGAAGGAGTTTGATCGATGTCTTCGCTTTTAGTTACAATATCTTCCTCTCTCGCGCGTTTTTTGCCCGTTGATGATCCTGATGTCTGGTCCATTCGTTGTCTGATCCAACTCCTTAGGCAGATTCGAAATGATCCAAAAACAACCCTAATTTCTTATTCGGTGATGGCATCAACTCAAATATTTTTTTATTTTCACCTACGAATACGGACCATTCTATTAGTTAAAACTTAAAACCCTTTGAAATTGAATCTAGAGACCGTTCTCAAATTCAAACCCTATTTCCGTCAATAAAAGCCGCGGTGTATCACAATAATACCTATAGCACCCTCATTATAAGTCGGTTTGGAATGCCAAAATGTATACCAAAAAAAAAAAAATTAAACAAAAATTCTTTTTTAACCTTGCAAAACACTCTACCTTTTATTATTATTATTATTATTTTTTTTTTTTTAAGGATAGAAACTCACAACCCCCCAGTTCAACAAAAAGTATATCAAGAACGCAATCCCCAATTTAATTCAATTCAATTCATAATCTAGTTTATTTTTACCACAATCAGTTGTTCCGGTTTGATAAACAACGAGAATGGAAGGGCCTTTTTTTTCTATTTTATTTATTTCTGTTAAGTGGTCTTCATTAATTACAACTACCACTAGTTTATCGAAGACTATCTTCCTCGAAGTTTCTCCAAGATGCACCTTAATTCTTGCCTTAGACCCGTCAAGGAAAGAAAAGACCAGAACAAAATTAGCTTAGCCTTTATTTTGAAATATTAGCGTGCTAAACACGTCCATCTTTTTAAAACGGATCTAGTACACTTGGTTACCCACAACAATAACCCCCCTCTTCCACGCACAAGTAAGCTTTATGCTTCCCAGATCTCAGCTTATCCAACTCGACAACCCTGTGCGGTAACTCTTCCATGAAGTTTCTCCCAAACACAACTTAACGCCTACAATAGCCTCATCAAGGAAAAGAAATAAGAGAACATGGATGCAGCTTTTCTTTAACAATTAGAGTACTAAAAACATTAACTGTTACATAGTTTACTCGAATTGTCCTACAACAAAATTGAATCAAAATGTTGTAAACCCACTATATGTCTCTTTAAGCAAGGTGTTTCCTCAATTCTCTTAAATCAGGCAGATTTCAACTTGGCTGATGTTGAGGCGAGGTGGGAAAGGGTCCTGTGTCCCACAAACATTAAGAAGATCCCCAATATTCCAAGTGCTTTCAATGTCGTAAATAGATCCAACTGCGTGCAAAGAAATAACAAATAATTACAGTCAAATAGCGGAGGTGGTGAGAGCAAGGGCTACAATGTCTTGAGAAGTCAACAATATATATTGACCAGGTAACAAAGATTTAACTTTTTAGTTGGAAACCTCGTGACAGACAGACAGGGCTCCGAAGTCCAACAAAAGAAGACGAAAGAAGTTAGTTTCACAGACCTTCAACCAGAAAAGAACGTATAGAGAGAGAACCGCTGCAATTCCAAAATGGAAAAGGATGGCAAATACGGCAGGGACTGTTGATGTGGGGAAGCTCTTCAGGTTCATGCCAAGACGCAATAGCTGTCAAAGAGATCAAAAAATATGCAATGTAAAACAATATCTGAAAAGCAGTTGGGAAGTTGGGTAGTCACTAGTAGTTAAAAACAAATATCTATCTCCATTAGGAAAGTATAGCATCACAATAATAATAATAATATAATATAATATAATTAATAAATAAAAGATCGAAAACCACCAATATGGGCAAAGCTCAAAAGATAAATATCAGCATGTTTTACATAGGAGAATTCAACCAACTTGTTCCAATTTACTACATACACGCACGCATGACATAAGTTTTCAAAATGGAACACCATAGTAGTGGAGCCAGTTCCAAACCCACATTATATACTGACCAACTCAAACCAACTTAATCTCAGCCAAAGCATCAGGGATATATGCTTTTTCTCATGCTTCTCATATTCAAACAGATGTGCAAGAAATCTAGTTCTCAGAAATGCCCACATTAAATGGAATGCATTAAGGACCTATACACCTAGGACTCACCTCGATAACCCCTGGGCCCTGGCTCAAGCTATAAGAAGGTGAGACGGCTTAGGATTGATTAAGCCTTCCGTTTGAGAAAGTCCTATAATGAATCTAGAGCCAAAAAAAAAGTACTCACCCCAACCAAGAAGCCAATGAAGGGCAAGAAAATAAGGCCCAGGAATGTAAGAGAGAGCTCTTGAGGTGGAAGCTTTTCTGCAACCCTGAAGATGTGGGTTATCTCAGCTTTGGCTCCATATCTTGAGTAAGGATCAACAGATTGCAGAGGAGGGCGGGCCGCCTTCTCAGGTGGTTCTGGGAGATCTAATTCAACATGGCCCAGCTCTTGTAAGAAAGAATTCTCCTGAAAAAAAGAGAATGACATGCTTAGAATGTGAGAAATGATAAAAATAAATAACTAAATAAATAAAGAAGGCCGTACTTACCATGACAGCATCACCAACTGTAAGCTGAATATCATATCTACCCGAGAGATAGAAGAACTTCTCAACCAACCCAAGAAAATCCTAAAAAAGAATGCATTTCCAGGCAACATAAGGAAAATAATTAAAACAATAAAAAACAGGTAATAAGTTTCACCAAATTCAGATTTAACTCTCTTTTAGAACCAAATCGGACCAGATTATGTTAAACTAGTTGATATCCATTAGCAAGTGTTGTTACAACACAAGCTTGTAGCCATATCATATGTGTAACAAGAATGGACATGACGCAGCAAATTGCTAGTATAACTTGCTCACACAGGATCTGAAGACTCTTCAGTCAAAGACCAGTCAGGGATCTGGAGAAGAGTCGACCACAAGAGGAGGTGAGCGGAGTAAAGGACAGAATATATACAATCCCAATCCGCTGGTAGTTCTTCCTCCTTTGACAGCAGAAGGAAGATCACTACCAAGGCTTAGTCAGTGGGAAGGATCTCTTCCTCGAAAGTCTACCAACGTCACTTCAGTTAAGATCACTGGGCAGTGACTCTTTTCCTTTCACAGTCGGTTCAGTTTAGGCTTAGGCTTAAACTTTGTACAATCACAAAGTTAAATAGGTTCTAAACATGCATTGCAACAGGTTTCCATCAGGGAAACTAAATGCAGAAAACATGGAACCCAAAGATAATATTGACAAAAAGGACAAAACTCGAAAGTTTAGGCTTAGGCTTAAATTTTGTACAATCATGAAGTTATATAGGTCCAAACACGCATTGCAGCAGGTTTCCATCAGGGAAAATAAATGGAGAAAGCATGGAACTCAAAGATATTATAGACCAAAAGGACTTACGAGTAATATCTCGAACTGTTTCCCAGAGTTCACCAGGACAAATATGTGCTCAACTTTGGTCTCGTGCCTCAACTTCAGGAATGCCTGCACGCAAACAGAGATTTCAACAGATGGAATGTGTGGAATAATATCATTATGGAGGTAAAACATAATAATAATAATTAATTAATTAATAACATAAACCTGATGTGGCTTAAATGCGTGTCCAAGTGGAGTGGTCAATTGGAAGGATAAATGCAGCTTCTGAAGGTGGTTTGCAAATAAAGAAAGATCACCCTCTCCAGCTAAATCTAGCCTGGAAAAACAAACCACAACATGAGCAGATAATATTTTGTCAAAAGTAGAAAGAAAAATAGTAACATATAGTGACAAGATTAAGTATAATATTCAAAAGTATCTTATAAGCACTACTGCCTAATACATTTCCTTTCACAATTACATTCTTTTAATTTCAAGTAGTACATTTCTTTTTCTTGTCACGCAATAAATCTCTCACCAACTGTAACATGACATTTAGACATGTAAAGTTTCAAGAATGTGATTCCATGTACAATTAATCCAAAATCTAAAAAATCACTACAAAAAAGTACCAGTGTTCGAATAAACAGGGTTGGCGAGCAACATATGGCATTACAGGGAATAGGAAAATGCACAACAGTGGAAACAAGGAGACTATGCTATCACAAGTTGAGAAGTATAGGTAGACAACTAGACATCAAGAATTTCTGAGATTAATGAAAAAGAGGGAGGGGGCCAGAGAAGTAAAAAAATAAAATGATGTCCACATTCAAGAAATGTATATGACATACTTCTTTTGAGTTTCTACACTCCCAAGATCACTGTCAAGTACAGCAATTTCTGCGCTGTCAATTCTGATAACACCCGTAACATATATTGTTACTCTTGTTCTGCCTCCAGTAGCATATATTTTCTTGTGTTCTGGATCATGAAGCACAATCTAAAAACAGAAAAGGAAAAAAATATCACAAATTTAAAGAGGAAAATGATCTACTTTGATATGTCTGAGATGAAGGGGAGAGGAGAAGGGAAAAAACTACCTCAAAAACAAAAACATAATTCCCAACATCAACACTATCCGGCAAAGCATCCAAGAAATGAACAGCTTGTTCAGGATCAAACCCAAGATCCTGAATCATGGAAATGCCAGTAGCATTCAGGTGTAAATCAGGCAAATTATGCTATCAGCTGGTTAGAGAGTCATATCCAGGGTATATATAGTAGTAAATAGAAATAATGTGCATCTGACGGAAAGCAAACGGCATGTTCACTCATTACCTGGCTCTCAATAATAGAAACATCCTTTGAACTAGAACTTGAAACTTGCGTGAGTTTTACTGATAAAGGAGGCGCGTTAGATCCCAGCACAGTATTTACTCTAACCTGAGAAAGCAGGACGACATCAAGCTCAGAAATAAGTATGGAACATATATAAGTTAATCAATAAAATTCTGCATAAAATGGTACTGTATATTTTAGAGAACCATGTAAATAGAAATAAGATGCACAATTGAAGAAGCAAGGATTTATGAGACAATTGAACAAGCAGTTGGTCAATGAATGTGAATAGCAGACTGTTTGTACATTAACCAAAAAATAAAAAATAATAAACAAATTGAAATCTGTGCTTAAAATTTATGAAATCAAAAGCCACATAAAGGAACCCAAGTGCAAAGTGGGTGGAGGGGTAGAGGGAAGTAGGGGACTCAACAAGGCCACAAGTAGGGGTGGCAATTCGTGTTCATGGGTCGTGTTCATGTCATGTCATGTTGATGTAAAGGAATTATACTAAATAGGAAAACCCAAACCCAACCCATTTAATAATCGTGTCAAGAATCCTCAACACTAACACAATCCGTTTATTAAACAGGCAAACGTGTTAACCCGTTTAATGACCTGTTTATCAAAACGAGACATTTAATATTTAATCAAATGCTAAATAATAGAAAAAAATTGTCATAATTTAACCCAAATATTCAAAATAAAAAGAAAAATCATAAGGCATAGACAAGGTTTATGTTGAAATGACTTAACTATCCATAGTAATTGGGTTTAAACAGGTAACATATCCATAGGTCATATTCACGATTATATCATGTTGAGTTAAATAGGTCATAAATGGGTTACACAGGTTGAACCCCTCGACCCTAATCCAACACAGTTAAGTAAACGGTTTAATCGTGTCGACCCTTTTATAACCCAAACCCATTTAACTCGTGTCGTGTCGTAATTTGCCACCCCTAGCCACAGGTATGCAGAAATAAAAGACAAAATATATCAACTATCAATAACTAAAGGACATCAAGACATGCCTTTTTTTTTTTCTCCTGAACTGGTGTGGGTGATAAAATTGTGCATAGGCATTTGTATTTTTTTGCTGATGGTAGCTCAATAGTGTTTATAATCTTCCAAATGGCTTTATTGCCTGATTGAATCCATCTTGTCATGATGGAAACACAATATAGATCTATCCCGATTACATTCAAAAATATAAAAATAAAAAAAATAAATAAAAATCAACTAAGAGAAAGAGAGTCTCATGAATGCTGATGAAGAATGTAGTGCACCAAATATCCAGAACAAGGCAGACACAGGGAAGATCATAGCATAACATATGCCAACATACTTAATAATCAAGACTTTGCCCACAATAAGTAAGAGAAACCAACATTCTTGATATAAAAAAAAAAAGTTATAAGAGATCAGGTAGATATGAAACACCTTCAGCTGGTCTTTTGCAGTCATCGAAAGCACAGTAGATGGAAGTGATAAAATCAATGGAATGGTCACCCTGCAAAAATTATTTAAAATGCTCTTACTTAAGATAACAATGGATTAATGCAGTAAAAAATCACAGAGCATAAGAGTAAATTAATTTCATAGATTTCAAGATATATTTTGGTGGTATAGATGCCACATCCAACTCTTTCCACTTTTCGTTAACAAGCAAGATATAAAATAAAAAGTAAAGAGCCAAAACTAAAGTAAAAACTAATTACTAGATACACGACATTTCAAGCATTATCCAAGCAAAAGTAGTAGGAAAATGCATGCTAAAACGAACTCTTCACACATGCAAACGAAAAGGTCACATCATTAGACGATGTTAGTGAAAAATGCCAGATGGAGTGCATTGATTACTTGCCTATTGTTTTCCAAGCAAGCTAATGCATCAACTTGGTGATACAAGTCTTTGGCATCGCCAGGAATTCCAATGCCAAGCAAAAACTTTGCCAAACCCAGTATTTTGTTCCCTGGAAGCTGCAAATTTTGCCAAAGCTTTAGAAGATATTTTAGTAAATTAAAAATTAATGAAAGCACTGAATAAACCCTGCAACATTGAGTATGCTCCTACTCACATTTAAAGTTTCAGAAGTAGAAGCTGCAAAAGCTGTAAGCCCGCGAACTACAGACGATGTAGCTGAAAGAGGACCCTGATGTTCTTGTGTATCAACAAGTTTCTCATCAAAATAATAGGCCCCATCATCTACAAAATGACGAAGGAGTTAAATATATAGAAAGAAATAGAAATAATATATGATCTCCAAAAATCAAATGTGATACATTGCAACTCCACTTCAAATGTGTTAAATATACATGTGCAATAGAATAGTCATTCATGTCTTCAAGGGCATCTCTACTAGAAACATGCATGAAGAGAGGAAGACAACTGAAATCAATTTTGACAACACACTTCTTAAAATTAAAGATCTTTAGCTCTGAAGCCAAAGATATCTCAGGAAGGATTCAGCTAGGCCATGTGAACATGTTCATTGTCCACCATATATGAAGAATTTTAAGATAAATGCAAAAAATGACTACAACAGCTTGATGGCAAACATAAGAAAAGTGATTAACTAACTACTACAAAGATGAACGAGTGCAAGTAAAGACTTCTTTTGTTGATATAGAACCTATTTAAGTGCGCTGAATAAAATACGACAATCAAGATGCACAAATATATATATATATTCGGGAGTTAAACTCCAACAAATGCACACTTAACAAAACAAACCACATACCATATTTCTCAATACTGTCAAAAAGCTTCACTATATCATTTTGTAGCGTAGAAATCTGTCAATATTAAGCAAATGTCAGGTTAGAATATGGAAATAAACAAAAAAAAAGTTTGGTTCAACTGTAGTGGAAAAAAAGTAAACCAACAAATACAACATCAAACAAGATGTACAAGTGGATAAAATTACTCAGAAAATAAGAAAAGCAAGTAAATCAGTATATGAACAAAAAAGATCGACTCCAAAACATACGATATATGTTCTCAATTTTTTTTTTTAAATATTTTTTTTTCCTTTTTGACAAGTGATTCCATGTCTTAATGCAACAATTGTTAAGAGTGAGACATCCAGGGTTAAAATAGGGCAGTATTTGAAAGGATGGTTTAATTCTTCAATAATAGGTGATACTCTTTGTCGAATTACATCAATAGGAATAAGAGGCTACATTGTGGCCACACCTACAACATATTTGTGATCTTCACGCCGATATATGACAAAAAACTTAGTAATGAAAATTACAAAATAGCCGTAGATGTTCATCGTAGAGATCATGAATTCAATGGAGGCTATGTCATCGTTCGTGCATGGACTGAATATTACCCAAAAGACTCCTTCAAACAATTGCAAATCCAATCTGCTGGATCATATAATATCATTCATAAATTTAGACCAAATTCAGATTTACTTTTTTAATAAATAAATATACCTAATACATATTTACTTGATTTTCCATCAATAACGGGCATAACCCAGTGCACGAGACTCCCAACCTTTGTGGGGTCCGGGGGAGTGATACCTCCGCATGCAAAGACACTTCTTTTCTGTTTCGAATTCATGACCTTACCCTCGTATTTGCATGCCCAATCCACTGGATCATAAGATACCATTCATAAATTTAGACCTAATTCATATTTACTTCTTTTTATATATAAATTGACCTAATACAAATTTACTTAATTTACCATCCAGTAATGGTACAGCCCAGTGCACGATACTCCAGCCTTTGTGGGGTCCAGGGAGGGATACCTCCACGTGCACAGAGACTTTTTTCCCATTTCGAATTTGTGACCTCTAGGTCATCATGAAGCAACCTTACTATTGAACCAAGGCCCGCCCTCATATTCGATTTACAAATATGAGTACTAATCCAAGTTTACATGTGAAAGACTTGTTCCCTTGTCAAGACTCCTTTTCTATCGGTAATCCTACAGGCGGAGACAATTTTTCAGTACCAGCACCTATTCCTCCACCCTTGTAAGATCAAGAAAGTTGGAAGTAATAAGCAAAAAGAAATTTACCCTAATTCCCCAAGCCTTTATCAAATTTATGCTATTACAATACTCTATTTGTTAGTTGAACCTACACACCCTTAGAGCTTATAGTGGCTTCTCAATAGAACATTAGAACTGTAAGATAAAAACATACTATGAGACCAGAAGCACGAGCAATTTTTATGATATCGAAAGGGGGTTGGGTACAACATTTTCTTTATTTTCTACAAAGCATTTCTAGGGAAGGATTGGGATGTATATATGTATCCACTAGTAACTGCCAGGAAAAAATATTTCCAATTTAATTTACACAAAGCAATATTCTAACCTTTAATTATCAAATTAATTGTTTAAAAATGGAACTTCATTCTTACAAGTTAGTAGGGCTTTAACCTCGGGGCCCACTTCAATATTAGCCCCCAAGTTACACCTATACCACAGACCGAAATATGGAACTCCACACGGTACAGTAGTTTCCAATAGGGCTCAGGTGAGCACAGATGATGGCCCAAAGACTACCCAAACACACGGGTAATTAGTGAATCAATTGATGGCCAATAATAGATAGTGTTGCCTGTTTGCTACCTTAGCACTGATATGTTATAAACTTCATTATGAATGAAATTATGAATAAATTGGCAAAAGAATATAATTTCCAAAAATCCATTTTGCAATAGAACATGGGACAAATATTCCTTCATGACTTTTTCCCCTCTCTAAAGGGTTGGGAAAGACGTAGTTTCCAAGTCCAGACAATGTTCTACCAGCTAACAAACCATAAGAAACCACCAAAATGGACAAAGTGTGCTTGCAACCAGAGCTGCAATGCTAAACTCACACTTACTAATCATCCAATCGGAGCAACCTTGAGAATATCAATATCCTCACCTAAGCATGACTAACACCATCCTATGTCGTGTATACAAAAATATGTGCCAACAATAACTGATATATGAACTGATCCAATGAGCTTGACAATGTCTTGCAAATGAGTTACAAGAATCACAGACTTTTAATCCAGAGCAAAAACAAATATATAGTTCAACTCACCAGAGAGTGATCAATCTCATTAGATGTTAATGAAACAACTCCAGCAAGTGCTTCAAGAGCTATTCCTGCAAGAAGATTCATAAAGCCAGGCAGATGAGTACCAACCAAGTAAGGCTTATGGGAAAGACAGGAGTTCAGTGCAGCAAGAAAATACATATATTTTATTTACAATAGTCAACAACAATAGAATAATATAATATCTAGCTTCACTGGAGACACATAATTACCAGCAGCATAAGTACTAGACCCAGGGTTATTAAAACTATAGCGCCATCTTCCATCACTCTGACTGAGAGCCTGCAATATTTTCCAACATGAATTTAATCACTCACAAAACAAGTTTGACATTCTAAGAAAAGCACGGAAAACCAGATATAGAAGTCCTCTAGAGCGTCAATATAACACCATGTAGCTGTATATACCAACCTTTATGGATCGGAAAATTTCTTCAGCATCTCCAAGAAGTACATCAACTTCAGAAGATTGGTCCTATACAGAAAATCAATGAGATACAACAATATGCAAAAAGTAGGACGTAGATTAAATGTAAGAATTTCAAAATGATTCTTCAACAATAATATAAAAGAAGATAAACAGCAGACTGACAAGTATATAAAGAAGTCTATAAGACTGGAAAAGAAATTACTTGATAACAACATTTGTAATTTTATTAATTGGAAACATTTAGATCATAAAGCAGAATTAAGAACTAAATCAGTATCCAGCGTATTAATTACCTTGATGAGCACCAAACTTCCTATTGAGTAGTAATAGTCAAGCAGCGAACTTGCATCATTGACAGATGCTTTAAGTCTCGAAGCGATGCCCTTACAGATAAGAATTATAAGCATCAATGCAACACATTGGCATATCTATAGTACACAAAGCATAAATGAACTTCAAACCAAGAACAACTGATTAGTGCTTGGAGAATAAAAATACCGCAAAAATTTCCTCATTGATCTGGCAATTTAATAGCCCATTAACTCTCAAAGCATGTAACAAATCCTTCAAACTTGAAGACGATGACCCAAGAGCATCCACCACAGATGGGCAAGTGGAAGCCCTTACATCAGGCTTTTCCTCAATTCCGAGAATTTCGAACATTCTTAAAGCCTCATATGTTTCTTCTAAGCTGTAAACATATAACAAATCAAATAGTTGTTTACCACTTCGCCCTCAACCAGCGAAGTTCAAAATTCACTGCTTCTTAAAAAAATTATTGTTAAAGTGGAAGATGGAATATGCAAATATATATACTAATACGGTTGTTGCTTTGCACATTAAACTAGAACTGGCAACAACCGATGTCATTTAAAAAACAAAAACAAAAAAACAAAGAGAGAGAGAGAGAGAGAGAGAGAGAGATAGAGAGAGAGAGGAAGGGGAATCATATGCATGATTATAACAGATAGGGGAAAGAAATTTGAAAAAATATATATATAGAAATGAAAACCAACACACCAGCTACTGCAAAGATAATACAATGCAGGGACGGACTTAAAGAGGCTCCTGCCCCCCTCAAAAAAAAAAAAAAAAAATTAACACTAAATACTAGGAATTTTTCCATATTACAATTATATATCAATGAAATTTTAGTGTACCCCCGAAATTATAAAAACATTTCACTTTTGCCCCCCTTACCCAATTTCTTGGGTCCGTCCCTGATAATATGAATGAGTATGAGGATTGCCTCCATGCTCTAAGCTCCAAAAATGAAAGTAGAAATTGAAATGAAGTTAGTAGTTAATCAATGTCTTGCAATGAGTGTAACTAATCAATCGTTTAGCCCCAGAACAAACTAGATGCAGTATGCTACGTTACGTAATGCGATAATGACAAAAATGGCAGGGAAATGGACGGAAGCAACCATGTCGCATGATGTGCCCTTTATAATCAAATAAGAGTGTAGACAGCAAATCATATTCTTATCCAACCACTTAATTATCCATTTGATTGCTGAAAAAGAAAGTAAAAAAGAAAAAACGAAAGGCATGACACAGTTTTTCACTGAAACCACCCATATGAGCTTATACAACAATCTGGTTTATTTGAGTTGAGTCTTCGAAATCCAAACAAATTACGAAATCACAAAAATTCAATATTCCACATCCTTATCTTATCGAGTGTTTTATAAGCAATCGAACGGAAAATCTTGGAAGAATTTATACAAAATAACTAAAATTAATAAAGAAACGCAGAACAAGTAACAAATGGATCAAATGCCGATTTAGTCTTCTTCTAATCAGGACAATCATCAAATGAAACTAACAATACAATCCAAAAATAATTCGAAAATAACAAAAGACTCGATGAGATACAAAGGGAAATGGTTTAATTAGGGTTTAGTTTGACCTTCGGAAGGATCCATCGACGGGCGTGAAGAGCTCTAGAGCGGCAGATCGGTGAGACTCTGAGATCGGATGGAAGAGCGCGGCATCACAGATCAATGCTACCGCTAGTATTAGAACCAGAAATCCTAAATTTCTGGCCATTCCTAGGAAAAAATTATAAAATGAAGGAGAAAGATCAAGATTATATTTATTGATTCATAGGAACCCTAGAAATCGAATAGGTGCGAGATCATACCACAAACTATCGAGACGACTTCACTATGCGCGAGTCTTTAGTCGAGTCTGCGCCAGTGCACTCAGGAGGGATTGTTTGGACTGTTCTTGAAAAGACTGAATGAAGTGAGAAAATATTACTTGGCGAAAAAAAAAAATGAAGTGAGAGACTATACACTCGAATTACAAAGGGACCCTTGTTGGTATAAGATTTTACCGGATATATCCTATCATCACCATCAATAGTGTTTGGACGCATGATGGCAGTGAATAGATCTAATGGGTTAAGTGTTAGTTCGACGTAATCCCATTTTCATTTAGTGTCATGTCAAACTCTCGATTCGGAAGTGTTCGAGTGAACCTTTTCAGATGGAGTTTTTTTTTTAATGGTGTTAGTTCAACTTACGACTGCAAATGAATCTAGAGGAGCTGAGCTTTAGGTTGCTCAGGCTCAGACTCGTGATGAACTCAAAAAAATCTACTCGGGCTCAGCTCAGCTCATTTAAGAAATTAAATTAAACTGGTATTTAAAATGTGCTCAAGCTCGTTTGCAAGCTTGTCGGGCTCGTTTAGTAAATTATTATTTTTTATTATATCCTTCCAAAAATTTAATAATTCCAATAAATAAATAAAAAATAAAAACAGGTGTAAACGAGTCCTTAACAAGTTTATTGTTCACGAACATATACAAGCCTTATATAAGTATATGTTTATGAACATAAACAAGCCTACACGAATTGAGCCTAACATTGATCGGGCTCTGCTCATTTAGTAAACGGGCTTAAAAATTGAGCTCGAACTCGAATTGTTTACTTAATGAACGACCTCGAGCCCAAACCCTTAGCAAGTCAAGCCCAAGCTGCTAATGAGCAGCTCGGTTCATTTGCAGCCCTACTTTAACCTAATAGTTTTAAGCTTTGAAATCAAATTTTAAATTACTCTAAAATAGAAGAAGATATTATATAAAAATTTAGCAGAAATGGATCCCAGCAAATTTCTCTCACAAAATGATTTGTTAGATTTTCCCTATATCTATTCAATAGACTTACCCTATGTACTTCACGATATAGGGTTTAGTCTCGATACAATTGAAGTAGAGCATAGTAGAGTTGTGGATCAACCAAATGCAAATTTCAGTAGGAATTTTTTTTTTAGAATGTTAAGTAGGATGTGCTGTACACATAGACCTAGGTGAGGAGATTTTTGAGTGTAAAGCTTTGGAAGTGGTTAGGGAGGTTAATCAGAGATTTCCAAGCCCATCGAATCTTTCACTGGTAATTGATGATATTAAGATGTGGATTATGCAAAACAAGAGTTACGGGAGATTCCCATGTTTTTTGCAGGAAGCAGCAATATTTGCAATAAAATTCTTATCTTTTTGTTGCACAATGTTTCAAGTCATAAAATAAATAAATAAATCAGTTTGGTTGATTGTTAAAAATATGGTATTTAAATTATACTAGAATTTTTTTTTAAAAAAAATTAAATTAAATTTGCTAAAGTCGTTTGATTAGAGTAAGTCTTTTCTTGCTTTGTGATTTTTTTTTCATTAATACAACTTGCTTGCTTACCTAAATATATATATATACAGTGGCGTTCAATTGCTCTCCAATTGCTCCCTAGTGAGTATAGAGTAGCATACTCACTTTTAATCCTCACCTTATAATCTAATCCTACGGTAATTAATTAATTAATTAATCAGTGTTTTTTTTTTTATATTTAAGGTAATTGCTTCTATTTTTTATTACCATTATGTATGATTAATAGGAAATGACAAAATTAGACATATTTTTAATAGAAACAAATTAAAAACAAGTTGTTTAGGATTTCCATCTTATCCGAATTCTTGAAGCATACCAATTAAAAATAAAAAAATGTAATTATTTTCAATTCCTTCGACGATAAAAGGTTAAAAGTCAAGCACGTCTGAAAAAAATAAAAATAATGAAATTTCCAATTCCATTAAATTTGAATTGCCACGACCATTTCACCTCCATTACTGCTACCCCGCCACTGCCACCACCTACCCCGCCACCGCCGCCATTTGAATTGCCACGACGCAATGGTGACAACGGTGGAGGTGGCGGCAATGCCAGGGTAGGTGGTGGAGGTGGTCCACTCCCCTTCTCTTTCATATTTTATATATTGGGTTACATGATTTGATGATTTTGCTTGTTTTTAAATTCATTTTTATGCACACATGTACAAATAAACATATTTTGAGAGTACTACAATCCTTTGTAATTGGATTATTCAGTAAGTAATTGTTTCATAGACATAAATTAATTGCAAAGTTGAGAAGGGAACGATTGTGCTTTAATTTTTCAACTGGTATGCTTTGAGAATTTTTTCAACTGGTATGCTTTGAAAATATAGGAACGAAGGGAATTGAAAATAATTAATTTTTTATTTTTAATTAGTATGCTTTGAAAATGGGAAGGAATTCGTATATAAGAAAATCCTAACAAATTTTATTTTAATTTGTTTCCATTAAAAACATATCTAGTTTTGTCATTTCCTATTAATAATATATAATGGTAATAAAATAAAAAAATGCAATTGCCTTAAATATAAAAAAGAAACACACATTAATTAATTACTACTCTATGCTCTCCAGGGACCAATTGAACGTCATAAGACATAAATATATATACCGTCGCTAGGTTGCTTACAATTTCTAAAACTGTTGTCAATTTTTGTTTGGTACTAATGTTGTAACACTTATAACTAAGGCTCCCTTTCTATGAGCATAAAATATTTTTTTTGTGTTTTTTTAGTGTTTGGTTATCGTAAAATAGTTACGACAAAAAAAAATATTAAAACCTAACAAATACTACTTATTTATCAATTTTCGACAAACTATTTTACACACTCCATCTGATAAACTCGACCTAAACCTTTGTCAAATACCGAAAAATAAAAATAAAAAATATTTTACCTAAAAAAAGGGAGCCGACGGTTCGATAAATTTCCCAACCACAAGGGGGTTGACTGCACGAGTAAGTCCCTAATGAGGCAAATAACAATTCAGCGCCAAGCCAGGCAAGAAAAAATCAGGAAACTTCGCCAACAATTCCAAGGTTTCTCAATTATAGTAATGCTCAATATAAAAGGCCATTTGATTTCTTCAATAAACCAAATGCAAAAACACCTTTTACTGGGTTATTGGTTTGAATTTGAATACTGGTCCACAAACACAGGCACACCATACTGGTATTAATTTGAACAGCTACAAAAAAAAAGTCACGTACTTCACACACCAACTGGCACCAGAGAAGGAAAGCTCAAGCCACAAAATACACTCCAAAGGGAAGGCCCGGGAGTAATCAATACTTTGGAGGTGGCTTTTGGGTTGGCAGCAATCCAAATCGCTTCTTCAGAAGAACTCTTTGCCTTGAGTATTTGTCATCAGGGGAGAAGCGAGCTGCAGTTGAAAAAAAAAGTGTAAAGCAAATAGACCAATTAAACAGGAATATTCATCTTTTTCTTGAGAATTTCAATTGAATAGGAACTGTATTACACTATTGTTGTTCAATAATGTAAGACAATAAGACTGTCAAAATTAGGATAAAGACATCACTGAGTAGCATATGAAGATTACCTACATACGTTACAAGCATGTGTATCATTTAAAGATAAAAAGAAAACAAAAGAAATAACGAACGAAAAAGAAAAATCTTCATGCAGAAGCCCTGCTTTTGCTAGCTAATTTGCTCCCACTATTTGCAGTGTATTGCCTCAACTTAAAAACAAACTCCATAAGATAAGAGCTAATAAAAAGTCTGGCTTAAAATTTTCAGAATGGAAATTTGGATGCATGATCATAATTTCACTTGATGCTAGAACCATATTAATCAAAAAGATCTAAAACAGAATGAGATGACACATGTTAAGATGATGATGCAAAATATAAACGAATAAGTTGTAGTTGTAGAGACATGGGAAACATTCAAAAAGATTAAAAAATAAGTTTAATATGACCATTATAGACCATCCGACCCCAAGTTGTTGGAAAAAAGAAGGCTTGATTGTGGTTGTATTATAGACCATCCAGAGATCTGCATTTGAGTTGGGCAGATCCACTCAGAGATAGCCATCTCTCTTGAGGAGAACAACTTGGATTAATAAAAATTGCAAAACACTTAACATTTTTGGCATCAGTTTGAACTGTTTTACAATAAAAATAAATAAATACAATAAAATAAAAGAGGAACCAGACCAAGTTCAAAAGAAGCTAAGCTGGATTGGGTTTCATTAATTATTTATTTATTTTAGACTTCCACAAGTATCGCCTATATATTCGGTCTGAATGCTTATCAAATGTTATGAAAAGTGTTATGGTAAATGTCAAAAACTCCCTTTCCCAATTCTAATTCCTCGAGCAAATTCATCAGAAAAATAGATTACCTGGATGAGCAGATTCTGTAGCCAACCCAAGTGGTGATTCTTTCTGCATACAAGAATGCAAGACCATGTAAAAGCTGAAACCAACCAAAAATATTAACTAGCCCAGACAAATGTGTTAAATTAAATAAAACATAGATGTTGCTATTGGGTAAGTAGCAAAGATGCTGTTGGAAGTCTATTCAGAATATCAAGCCACAAGTTTTCTATTTCCACAAAGTGAGTGCTTCCACTAAATTGTTGCCGGAAACATTTTACATTACAGAATGTACAAATTAGTTAGACGAGAGAACAAAAACCAATTGTGAAAGCAATGCAGTCAAAGCATAGAACTATAGCCAAGTTTACATCAAGGTTTCATAGAACCAGCTGGGGTAAAAATAAATAAATATATATATATATATATATGAAACCCATCACCTAGTCTAAGTTCACATGTATCTGTGAAGTTCTTTCAATTTTTTAATCAAAATCAGTTTTTTTTAAATCAGTTTTTTTTTTTTTTTTACCTACTGGATTAAACATTGGCAGATGACTGAATAAAAAAAGCTACAGAAATTAACAGACTATAACACTATTAGCATGAAATTCTACATATAACAACATCAATTTAATTCAACCTTAAATACTAACATTGAAAAATGATATCGTTTGACTAAAGTTAAACTGCAAGAATGAATCGATATGGCATACCTTGGTGGTGTACACTTTGTCTCCATTCTCATTTATGTAAAACTGGAGATACATTATTGCAAATTGATCAGCTGCAAAAAGCAGAAGAATACCATGAGATTTATTCAACAGAATATTCATGAATAAGAAAATCAAACTAAAATCAACTTTTGAAACAACATAAAAATAACTGAGAATCTTGGGAATATTTAAAAAAACTTGTAACCCAGTATAACAATACATTCCACTCATATAAACTTATACATGATTTTTTAAGTTATCCTCCATGTTACTGTGTTTTCTCGGTAAGCAAACAAAGTAGTGAATAATAGAGAACAGGAAAAAAAAAAAAAAAAACAAACAAACAAACGATTACCGGGAGAAAGGCAATAACTGGCGAACTTTCGACTTCTGCGACCCAAACCAGTAAAACCCTAGAACTTCTAATGAAGCCCTAATTAAGTTTTGTTTTTATACTGCAACAGCAATGTTTTGAAACCCGAATAATTCAAGACCGAGGAAAACGGCCGGGTGTGTGATATCTACTCAATTGGATTGAACCGTGCCGTCATGATGAGGCAATATGTATAAAGCAGAAAGGATAATAAAATAATAAATTCATATTTTTTTCAGAAGATAAAAAATATATAAAAAAAATTGTATTCACAGTGCACTTGAAATTATTAATTAATAAATTAGCTCAAGAAAACTAAATTACTTTGGATACTAACATTTTACGCATACGACGCTTCATTTGTTCATAATTAAAAATTAAAATTTATTAAGTTAGACACATAGCCAATAGGCTCGACACTAAGTCGACATTTATATGTATAAACACGTGTAGAGTAATCAAGACAGGTCGAAATAATATAAACATAATAAGCTGGTTAATTTAAATAAAAAAAATTAGCATTGTATATATGATCATACTTGTACATTTAAAGCAGAGACATTGTAATAGAAGTAGATCTGTTAATGGAGCGGATCCTGATGATTTGATTTGTCGGATATGAATTGAACAAAAAATTCGATAACCCAATTACGATCCGAATCCGATAATCTATTAGCTTGACAAATCAAATATGGATTATAATGATCCGATCTAATTAAAATTATACATATAAATAATTATATATATATAATTATTTATCAATAATTTTACATATTTATATCAATACTCCTATTAGAATTGTATTAGAGGTAACCCAAAAATAAAAAATAAAAAAACTTACAGTGTTATATATATAATAGTGTGGTGTTTTATATATAATAGTGTGGTGTTTTACTGTCTCGTCAATGTTATATATATTAGTTATATATTACTAAATTTATATATGTTAATTATTTATCATTATATTCATTTGGTTGCATAGTTATATTATGTAGCATTATGTATATTAGCAATTCTCCACTTCATTTAACTTTATAATTATATATGTTAGTAAATACGAATTTAATCCGAATTCGAATCTGATTCGATCCGAGTCCGAGCTAAATAGAATTTAAATTAGGTCGACATTCAATCCGAGAACCCGTCAGTGATCCGAATCCGATAATCCATTTGCTTAACAAATCGGATATGAATTTGATCGATCCGATCCGAATCTAATCAATTGACAGACCTAAATGAAAATAGTGGAATAATGATGTATCTGAACTAAAAATCATTACAAAAATGACATTTCATTTTTTTAAAGGTTAATTTCACTCACACCCCTTCAAGTTTGGCCATATTACACCCTTAAATATTTTTCGAAAATAACTATCACTTAGTCCATTTCTATATTTCCGTTAAAAACTCTGTTAAATGGATGGGAAAAGACAACTTTACCCCTAATTTTTTTAATCACATTTATTCCAAAATATCAGATTACTTAAATACCCATTATACCCCTACACCCACCTACCACCACCATCCACATCCATCACCATGGTTGCCGCCACCAGTCCTCTTTTCTCTCTTTAACCTTTTACCACCACCCACAATCGGCACCTCCACACTACCACCCACAATCAGCACCTCATAGTTTTGAAATAAATAAAGAACAGAGAAACGAACACGGTTGCTAGATGGGATCCTCACCGTTGTTTGTGAACTTTTCCCTGATTTGGGTTCACGTAAAAAATCACAGGGTGGTAACGATGGGCGGAATTGGGGCAGTTGTGAAAGGGAAGGGTTGCCACAGCGATGATGGGCGGAATTGGGGTTGTTGTGTGTATATATATATGTCTGTGTAGTGGATTGGAGCTGCTGTGTATGTGCGTGTCAGGGAAGATGATGAAGGGGAAGGGTCGTCGCCGCGATGATGGACGGAATTGGGGCTGTTGCGTGTATATGTGTATATATATAGACATGTATATATATGTCAGTGTGTATATATATATATATATATATATATATATATATATAATTTTGTAAATTTACAAAACTGTGGTATTTTAATATAATTTTAGGTTAAAATGTTATTTTGACAAAATCGAAGGGCATTTAAGTCATTTTACATCATGGCATAACGCTTCAAGTAACAGTTGGGGTGTGAGTGAAAAAACGGAATAAAAGTTTATAATGTGAATTGTAGTTATTTTCGAAAGATATTTGATAGTGTAATGTAACAACCCACTCTACCACATGGTATGATATTGTCCGCTTTGGGCCTGAGCCCGCACGGTTTTGCTTTTCGGCTTTACCCCAAAAGGCCTCATACCAATTGGAGGTGACACACTTACATATAAGTACTTCACCTTTCCTCTACCCAGGCGATGTGGGACTGTGCACCCGTAGCTTGCCAGTGTGGTAGCCTGACAGTGTCTCTCGCACCCGCCCACGGCACACCCGCCCACAGGGTCATCACAATCACCCCCCCTTTGGGGCCCAACGTCCTCGTTGGCCACACTTCCGGCTGGGTCAGGCTCTGATACCATTTGTAACGACCCACTCTACCACATGGTATGATATTGTCCGCTTTGGGCCTGAGCCCGCACGGTTTTGCTTTTCTCATACCAATTGGAGGTGACACACTTACATATAAGTACTTCACCTTTCCTCTACCCAGGCGATGTGGGACTGTGCACCCGTAGCTTGCCAGTGTGGTAGCCTGACAGTGTCTCTCGCACCCGCCCACGGCACACCCGCCCACAGGGTCATCACATGTAATATGGCCAAATTTTGGGGGGAGTGAGTGAAATTAACCCCTTTTAAAATTATGCCATAGCTACTCTTAATATATAAATTAGAAATAAATTAAAATTCTATAATATTTTTATTCGATAGACTTATATAAATAAAAAATCATATTTGTATGAAGTCATGTTCATCCGTATTCGTAGCTTATTTGTTAAAAATTTAGGTGTCCATGTATTCATATGGTGTATTCATGTCCATGCTACCTGACTATTTAATTCGTTTTGTTAAATAAAAAACAAGTAAAGTACAATGGACATCATTTTATTAATAAATTTAAAAATAAAGCTATTTGTATCAAGTCATTTTTGACGATTCAAGGACAAAACAATTTTGCATCAACAAATTCGACTCAACAAACACAACACCACTCAAATAAAGAAATGCACACGTGTGTATGTGTAGATTGTTAAGCCATGTTGAGAGTCATCTACCATTTTTAATATTGTTACTACATGGCCACAAAAAGTACCAATAACCTATATTTAAGTAAGAGCAAGGGCGGAGCTAGAAATTCGAGGTTGGGAGTGAGCTTGTTCTATGTAATACCCCTAGTTTTTAAAAGGATATAAAAGGGATTTCATTATTTATTTTATTGTACTTTATGTGTTTACGTGACTATGTGTTTATGTGGCTTCATGTTATATGTTTATTTGTTTTAATTGTTTATTTGATTTAGTTGGGTGCTAGGGTTTTGATTAATTGGGTGTTGTATGGGTGTGGTTTAATTGTAATTATTTGTTATGATTTAATTATTTTATGTTTTATTTTATTTTATATTTTTTTAAAAGGATGAATTTTGATAGTAATAATGAACCACTCACTTGAGTCACATGGACTACTTGGAAAAGAGTTTTTATGAGTACGGATATGTACCCTTATAGGGAGAGTTGTATATATATATATATATATATATATATATATATATATATTTGTGTATATATGTATAATAAGGATATAGTATTATTATTATTATTAATGGTAATAATATTAGTATAAGAATAGTAAGTTATATATATATAATTATATTATATAGTATATTTATATATATATCACGTACAGACATATAAATATATACGTATTCTTACTTTTATTTTATTTTGTTTTCTTTTCCTTTGTACAAACTTATGTTACACATAGGATCAGGGTTAAATCATACTACCTATATATATATATTTAAATCTGTAGAGGAGGTGGCTGGTGTAATACCCCTAATTTTCAAAGGGATATAATTGAAATTTAATTAATTGTTTTAGGTGCATTTTAATTTACTTAATTGATTATGTGTTTAATGTGATTTCATGTTTATATTTTATTGACCTAGTTGTTTGATTATATGTGTAATTAAGTGTTTTATTTACATAGGTATTAAATGGAAACAATTATTATTTGATTTTGGATGTTTACTTTAATTAATTGATTCATTGTTTTATTTTTTTTAATTGAATTTTTGTTTGTTTAATTGTTTCTTTAACTGTATTTTTATTTCCTGTAATTGAATGATTAGTTTTTAATTGTTTAAATGTTTTATTAGTCTTTTTAAATGGAATTAGTTGGATTAACGTAGTATTTCTAATTGTAATGTTAAAATAGAGTTCTAGTCTTTTATGTTTCATGCCGACTGGACTGGGAATTAATTAGGTTTTCCATCGCTGATTAAAATTGGGCTTAGGGTTTGTGTGACACCCCCAACATTTTCCACGCATAAGTTGAACAGGCTTATACACGAAAAACGAAGGATATCAAAAACAATTGGCAATATACAAGAATGGAATACAAAATGATAATAATAAAAGAATTTAGACAGGGAAGGAATACTAAATAATAAAACATCCATCCATCATTTATTTAATATAGTACTCCGTTACAACTTGGAAATCCTATGTCAAGGATCCCTAAATATAAATCCTGAGAGTTCAACGTCAAAAGTAAATAAAAACTGAAACTAGTAATACATAAAACTTCTACCCTGAACTGGATCGTAAGAGTAGATGAATTCGGATGGTGGTCCCACACTGCTAGCCTCAACCTTGGAACGGGTACTGACCGTATCCTGAAATAACAACAATGGTGGGTCAACCCCACAAACAAGTCCTCTCTACTATGACCCAAATCAGAGAATCAAATAAATTAATCATTTTGAATCGGATGGGTACTATATCTGTATACATCCTAATGGAACTACCCAATGCATAATATGACCTCAACCAGAATAGACGGTGATCACTTAGACTCACACTAGGTGGTTAAGTGTCGTCTTTCCCTACCCAGGAAATCAGCTATTATACATGGTGCACGATACTGACAACACAGACTATAACGAACTACA